AACCAAGTCTCAAGGAACCTTAGCTCAAAGAGAAGTAACTTTGATCAAGGTAGTGCATGTAAAAGTGTAGAGAAAACTAACTACAAAGCACAAAATTGTTAGAGAGAGAGAGAGAATTTTGCTCCAAAATTGCTAACCTCTCAAAATGGGGGAGGAACCCCCATATTTATAGAAAAAGCACCCTCTAAGCTTGGAAACATCTCACCATACATGTGTAGGGAGATGCAGCTTATTGTGCTAACAGCTGGCACAATTGTCAACAAATATCTGGAAAAAGGCATTGGGGGCCAACCGGCCACACTCTTGTCCGACAGCCTATGGTAGTGGCTGACAGGTCACCAAAAGTTTCAGGCAAGAAAAACCAAGGTTTTGGTCCAAAACAAGGCACAAAATAGATAAGGTTTTAAGGCTCAAAGGCAGGGCACTCCACTGAGAACTTCGAGCACTCAAAACAAACACATGAAATCAGAATCATTGAGTGCACAAGTGATACGTCCGAGCCTTGAGGACGGGCAAAAATGGGGTGTCTGCAGTATGTTGTCTAAATAGTAGGAGTGTTCTTAATGAAACCTAAAGTCTTAGATTCAAACCTTACTCACACCTTTGAATAATAATTTTTTTATTTTAGGCTAGATAAAACTGTCACGTGACATGACGTGAGATAGATATAGATATAGATATATAAGAGATTTAGGAGAAATTACCAAAAAACAATAAAATAAATAAAAAAAAAAACTCTAGAGTTTAACTACGGTAATGTAATAAACCTTAAATTTTAAAATTTTGTTTTCAATCTAAACTATCTACCTATTCTCATTAAGTAAAACTGATGTAAATATAATATTTTAGTCATTAAACTCAATGAAAAAAAGATATTTTAAGTTTTAAATTTTGTTTTCAATCTAAACCATCTGCCTATTCTCATTAAATAAAATTGATGAAAGATAATATTTTAGTTCTTAAACTCAATAAAAAAAAGATATTTTAGACAGTTTGTGTATACCTAAATTGAGTATAATGGCTAAAATATTAGTTTTTTAGTTTACTTAACAAAAATAGGCTGATAATTTATATTGAAAACAAACGAAAATATTAGGATTTAAACTGACAAAATTAAAAATGCATTGTTTATTTTATTATAAAAATCAAAATTTGATTTTATTTTTTTTTATTTGTAATTTTCCTAGGATTTACCATATCTATAGAAATTATTAACTAAAAATATCACATAAATAATACAATATAATACTCTCCGAGAGTATCTAATTCGGTCCTACTCTCAGGCGTACTACCATGTAAAACATTATGACCGCTATCATTCTCTTCCAAGTTTCCCAAAAATCCATGGTTTTGATTATTCAGTCCTCCTATGTACCTTCCCATATTGAATTGGGTGGCAAACGATCCACCAATGACACCAGCCAGAAGTGATTGTGATTGCTCATGATGATGATGATAATTTTGTGTTTGGATATGACGATGAATCTGATGATCGTATGGTGGCATTCCATTGAACGATGAAGGCGCCATGCTCGTAACAAAACTCTTCTGCATCATCGGTGAGTTCATATTAGAACTTGCAGTTGCACCCATTTGAGCTGCCTTCTGCAACAAGGCGGTTGCTGACATGGCAGCCGCAGCTGAGGAGCATAGCGATGAGTTGACAGCGCTGCTGAGCTGGAGGGTGGAGGAGGAAGGAGAGATGGGTGGTCTTGGGCTGCCAAAGAGGGTGTCTGAGTTAGTAGTACTTGGGAAGATGCTTCCATTTGCTGCTGATAGGTTTACAGGTTTTGGAGGTATTATTGGCTTTATAGGGATTTTGATGTCAAGTTGGGTAAATTCAGGTAATGTGATGGAGGTGGTGTTCATAGGCGGTGGCGCAGTGTTGGTGGTGGTGGTGGTGGTGATGAGATCTGGGATATGGCCATGATGGCCTTCGTTTGCTTTGTTGTTTTCCTCAGCCAGGGCATCACAGAATGCTCTGTGAGTTATGAAGCTATCTCTTCTGTGAAACAATAGAATAATGAGTTATGAGTTGGTCTTTGTTTTATAAACCATATATAAGAAGAGAAAGGCTACTATACTATATCATTCTTACAAATTTCAATTTTCCTTTCAGTTTTTCATAATTTCATACAAAAATATTCATGTGTATATATAAAACTCGCGGTAAAATTGTATATCCAAAAACAATTTCTCATAATTTTAATTAGAATGAGAAGTATCTAGATTTATTTTATATGTAAATTTCACAACATACAAATTAAAATTTCACAACATACAAATTAAATTTGAGTTACACCTAGGTGTAACTCAAATTTAATTTGTATGTTGTGAAATTTTAATTTGTATGTTGTGAAATTTACATATAAAATAAATCTAGATACTTCTCATTCTAATTAAAATTATGAGAAATTGTTTTTGGATATACAATTTTACCGCGAGTTTTATATATACACATGAATATTTTTGTATGAAATTATGAAAAACTGAAAGGAAAATTGAAATTTGTAAGAATGATATAGTATAGTAGCCTTTCTCTTCTTATATATGGTTTATAAAACAAAGACCAACTCATAACTCATTATTCTATTGTTTCACAGAAGAGATAGCTTCATAACTCACAGAGCATTCTGTGATGCCCTGGCTGAGGAAAACAACAAAGCAAACGAAGGCCATCATGGCCATATCCCAGATCTCATCACCACCACCACCACCACCAACACTGCGCCACCGCCTATGAACACCACCTCCATCACATTACCTGAATTTACCCAACTTGACATCAAAATACCTATAAAGCCAATAATACCTCCAAAACCTGTAAACCTATCAGCAGCAAATGGAAGCATCTTCCCAAGTACTACTAACTCAAACACCCTCTTTGGCAGCCCAAGACCACCCATCTCTCCTTCCTCCTCCACCCTCCAGCTCAGCAGCGCTGTCAACTCATCGCTATGCTCCTCAGCTGCGGCTGCCATGTCAGCAACCGCCTTGTTGCAGAAGGCAGCTCAAATGGGTGCAACTGCAAGTTCTAATATGAACTCACCGATGATGCAGAAGAGTTTTGTTACGAGCATGGCGCCTTCATCGTTCAATGGAATGCCACCATACGATCATCAGATTCATCGTCATATCCAAACACAAAATTATCATCATCATCATGAGCAATCACAATCACTTCTGGCTGGTGTCATTGGTGGATCGTTTGCCACCCAATTCAATATGGGAAGGTACATAGGAGGACTGAATAATCAAAACCATGGATTTTTGGGAAACTTGGAAGAGAATGATAGCGGTCATAATGTTTTACATGGTAGTACGCCTGAGAGTAGGACCGAATTGTTTTCAAGTTTTATGGGTAGCAATGGACACGATGATATGACAACAGTTGATTATTTAGGGATTGGAGGAACAAGGCCGAGGAATTTTCATGGACAACAAAACCATGGAGGAGTGGAGGAGTATGAAGCAATGAGTACACAGCAGAGAATGCAAGGTTTGAGTCAATTTCAACAGCAACAAATGTCTAGTGGGCAAGTAACATGTGAAAAATCAATGTGGAATGTTTGAAATTATGATTATGTATTTGTTTTTTTTTTTGGTGTAACTCATGTATTATGGAAGAAGCAGCAATAATGTTTTGCTGGAAATAAGACAATTAGGGCACAACAATGCTCTCAAAACTATTTTTTTTAATCATATTTTATTTATTATCTTATATGTCAACATTATATTGATAATTAACAAGCATTAGTAATGAGATGTTGTAAATCAATACACTATTGACATATAAAATAATATATAAAATATAATAAGAAAATGTGATCGTGATAATGGTATTGTTAGAGGGCGTTGGGCTTGTGAGAGCAATTCAAACTCTTTGATGGCACAAGTGTAACTGTATAGTAGAGCTAATTTGAAAGAATCAATAGTGTTTTTCGATATTAGGTGGGTTGAGAGGGACATATTTATCAGACTTGACTCGAATTAAACGTAGTTTTCTTAGGATTTCCTTTTAATCTTCCACTTCCATCAATTTTTTTCACAAATGATTTCAATTTTTTATTCGTAAAAGATAAAATAAAAAATGAGCAACTTTATTTGGTTTTTCTTTCTCTTTATTTTTTCTTCCGTAAATTCAAAATCTAAACACAGCTTGTGTAAAAAAATAATTAATATAGTAAAATCATTCTGAATCAAATGCGAAAGTATTGCATGTCACCAGCGTGGTGTATCCCTCTTTTCTCTCTCTCAAACATGTAGGCATCATAAAGGTAGGTTGTGCATGTTTGTGCCAAAATAATTTTAAAAAATGAACACATGCTCCACAATTCGTTACACAAAATACCACCTGTAGTCATACAGCAAAAATTTTGTTACAATAGCCTCAATTAATAATGATGCAGTTTTTTTTCAAACCTTTATATTCTTTCTCTGTTTTTCATAAAATTTTCTTTCTTTTTTTATTAGCAAAAAAAAGACTTTATTGTGAAAAGCAAGGTACAATACAATTACATCAATAAAGTGAGACGAATGCAAAAATATCACGATAAGCAAAATCATTCCAATTAGGTTGGCATGAAGAAGATATCCTATCATTTGTTAGCACTCCAAGTTGGTGAGCAACTAACCAAAGAAACAAACAAAGCAAAAACAAAAACAACACAGCTCCACCACAAACAGGACAACCACAAACCCAGGACACCAACTCAGCTACCATTCCTAATGCAGTACTACTGCACTTGTTGCAGATTCAACACAATATCATTAACAGAGAACACCACAGAGGTTGGAGAGGCCTTGATCCACAATGCTACTCTCACCTTAACAAGGTCGCACAGTTCATCCAAGTTTAGTTGAGTACCATTGAATACACACTCATTCTTATGCTTCCAAGTGAACCAGAGAATAGCCAGGAGAAGAGCCATCCAGATTTTCTTTTCCAACTTTTTCATTTTGCAACCAAACCACCATAATAGCAGCCCATTCACAGGACCAAGCAAGACCCACTGAAAATCCCACCATCTTACAATGTTTGACCAAAGCATCTACACAAAAGGGCAGAAAAGAAGAACATGGCCCACTGATTCAACTTCATTTTGACAAAAGACACAAGCAAGATTAATATTACCATCCATAATACCAATTCTATGAAGAAAACTAGCAATTTTAACCTTTCTAAGCCAAGCCATCCACCCAAAAAATTACAATTTTGGTGGAGCACAATTGTTCCAAATTAATCCTATCATGTCCAAAGCAGGCCCAAGACTAGCCTCGCACCAATTGTAAACTGAAGAAATATTAAACACTCCTGAAGAATCTGCAGCCCATAACAACTCATCTGGATTATTGTTACAAAGTAAAGGTGCAATTCTAAGTAAAGTTGAGAGTCTAACCACCTCCTCCTCATCCCAAGCCAGTAATGGTCTTCCAGCACTTCCTTTAGCCTCTTGGTATGGAGTATAAAATTTTCTTTCTTGTAAAAGTAAAAATAAAAATAAAAAAAGGTAAACTCTAGCTTTTGGCAAAGAATAAGATCTACATCATGTTATTTTTACAGTGATTATCAATAATTCAACCAACTAAAGATGACCATTTTTGCTATCATCTTGATCAATAATTATGTAGTTACATATTACAAGAATTTATATTTAATGGATTATAATATATATGTGTGTGTGTGTGTGATCAACCACCACTAAGTGCTATCAATATCTATGCAACCATATAAGAGCAGTATACATATATATAACTATGTAGATGACAGAACATGAGTACCTACCACATTACTTATTTCATCAATTATTTCATTTGGTGAAATATATCGGTCACATTTCAAAAAATTACCACCCAGGAAAAAAACTCTCTCTCTAAAAAAAAAACCTCTCTTTTTTCTCTCTTTAAACCTCCTTCTCCGGCCTCTTTTTGGGCTGGCCGGCCGCCGCCTTTGGCTATGGCGGTCGGCTGGCCTAGCTTGTTTCAGCGGTAGCCTTGTTAGTTTTCTTTCTTTCAATGAACTTGAGTCCCCCATTCTTCCCACCTAGGTGTGTTGCTGCGGGTGAGTTTTTGGTTTAGGAGCTGCTTCGGTTGGTCATCAGTTTGTCCTCTTGTGTTTCAACATTGCCGTAATAGCCGATTCTTCAAGGGCAGCCAGGGATTTCATTCGAGCGCTTTTGGCGAGTAGGAGTTTGAGGGGTGCGTTTTTGGACGGAAACAAGGGTATTGTAGGTGATACAGTTCTGTTCGGTTGGCACTCGTGCGCTCCTCCTTGAGGGAGAGTTTGAGGGGTGAAGTTGGGTGTTGTTTTTGTGGAGTTTGGCAGTGGGTGTTGGTCTGTGGAGTTTGGCAGCAGAGGCAAAGGTGTGGGTTTTGGGTGTGAGCGAGAAGAAGGCCTGGGGGGGTGGGTTTCGGTAGTGGGTGTTCCCGGGCAGTGGGTGTTGCAGCAGGGGTGTTTTTCTGTCGGCAGTGGGTGTATTCGGCAGTGACTGGTGTTCCCGGCAGTGGGTGTTGCAGCAGGGTTGTTTTCTGTCGGTGTATTCGGCAGTGGATGGTGTTCCCGGCGGTGGCTATGGTGTCTCCTCGGCAGAGGCGTGCCTAGAGGTGGCGTGGACAGCAGCTTCGAGTGGGTGGCTGAAGTGCAGAGGTATTGTTTCTTGCAGCAGAGGCGTGTTGGGTCAAGTCACACAGCAGAGGCGTGTTGGGAGTTGTAGATGCAGAGGAGTGGTTTAGTGTTGTTAGCTTATTTTGGGTGATGGGTTAGTTCATTTAGTTAGTCATGGGTGTTTTTGGTGGGTTGAGTATGTGGGGATTCTTGTATTTTAAATTCTCTAGTTAAGTTCTTCTTAACTTTTTTGGTTAAAAAAAAAAAATCGAGAGGCTTAGGGGTTGGTTGTATGGATGCGAGTAGCAGTAGTAGGGGTATTTTTATACTTCCGAATCTCTCTCAATGCATGTCATCTTCCTGTACTTTTAATTTCATGCTGTTTAATGAAATTTTTCTTTGCTGATCAAAAAAAAAAAAATTTATTTCATTTGGTGGTGATTCAGTCTCAATATATATATATAGTTGGGGATCCAAGAAGATCATAGCTTTGTCATTCAAAAAAACAAAATGTATATATATATATATACAGAAATAGAAAAGAAAAGAGTGTTGAATCGAAGCCATACCATTAAGAAATCTTAATTAGTTTCATTTTTAATTTTTAAGAATTATAGATATTGTCTGGAAATTGCATGGATACGTAATTTTCTTTTTTTTTTCTTTTTTAATTACCTATGGCATTAATAATTTATTATGATTATGTATACTACATAATATTTTTATAAATATAAAAACCAGTAGAGCATGAGACTAGCATGGTTTGCATCTATGTACAATGCATAACTATATTCTATATATTATATATATGGGTGTATTAGATATGCATAATCCTTTCCAAGTTGCTTAATTATATCAATACTATATTAGTCAAAGAAGACAAAAGAGAGAAGAAATTTCATTGCTTAAAATGGGGGAGAGAAAGAAAATAATTTTTATAGTAATTCTACGAATACCCAATAGTAAAACAGTCTCTTTAATAGTGAATTTCAATATATGACAATATTTATTTGTAGTTGATTATGTGTAAATTAATTTAATGCTTATCCCCAATGAACCAAACTAATCTTGTGGAAAATAGTAGAGTGAGTATAGTCTAGATTGGTTCAGTTTGGGATAAAATCAAGACCAATTAGTTGTCTACAGTTTCACAAAAATTAAAACCGATGCAATCCATTTAAATCGTGGAACCAATTTGAACCAAACCATTTAAACACGGTTCAACTCTATTTGGAACCACGAATTCATATAATCTATTTTTTTTTTTTTTGATCGGCAAAACAAAATCTTTATTGATGAAACATACAAATTATGCAATATTACATCAATAAAGAGGAGCTTGGAGCTCAGAAAAAGCTCCAAGCGCCAGTTGGTGAGGAACCAACAAAAGAGAGCAAGATAAAAGGCAAACAAATAGATGAACTAGTCTATAACATGGAACTCAAAAACCAAACTAATAAATAAGCTGGTAGGAGCCAAAACAGTTAATAAGACTGATAAGCACTGACTAATCCAGTAGAAGTCGACCACCATAACAGAGTTAGCCTTCCCAAACAATTCAACCCAATTCAGCCAACAATTCAAACCACCAACTAGGCACCCTAGTAGATCAGCATACACCAACATTACCAGAATACACCCAAATCAGCATACACCATAGCAGAGCAGCATACACCCACAACAGAATAGGAAATCACTAGTAAACCAACATACACCACACTACTCACCATGGCAGAACAGCAAACATCAACAGAGCAGCATACACCAACAGCTCAACACAGACTCAGCATACACCAATACAGCAGAGCAATACAACAGCCACAATACCAGAATCCATACAGCGGCCAACACTAGAGCAATACAGCAGCCACAATAACAGGAACAACACCCAACACCAGAATCATTGTGTAGGTGTAGCAGCCCCTCCCAAACACTTCCTGATTTGCCTCAGATTAAACACAAAATTCTGAACTGAAAAGTTAAAGTCATAGAAAGCAAGTTTTAACCAAAAGGCAATCCTATATTTAATTAAGTCACATAGATCCACCAGATTTGGAGGAGTTGCTCTAAACACACATTCATTCCTGCACTTCCATACAGACCACATCACAGCCAATGGAATCACCCTCAAAATCTTCCTTTCTTTCCTCTTTAACTTCCCCCCTGCCCACCACAACAGTAGACTCTCCATAGATCCTGGAATAGCAGCTTGGATATCCCACCAATCCAACATTTCAGCCCACACCATCCACACAAAGGGACACCAGAT